AAGAACAATGGAGGGAGGAGTCGATTTTCGGAGCTAGGGTTCCTCCCCCATCGAGCACCCTCCTCTTCTCTCGTCTATGGTGAAGAAAAATGAAGAAAAACTGAGTTTGGGGGTCTTGGGTTCGATCTTTTATGCCCCTCTATTGAAAAACCCGAGAAAAACACACTTCTGCCTAAAAAACACACCTTAGCGCCGCTAAGGTTGAAAACTGCGAGCCTCTGGGGGTCGGTAAGGGTCCTAGCGCCGCTAGATAAGCCAGCCTTAGCGCCGCTAAGGCCTGGGCAGCGCGACTTTGCCTTTCGGGCTAGTTTGGGCTCGTCTGAACTCAGAATTGAGTTCTGCTTTTTCCTACGCGTCGCTAATGAAACCCTCTATTCAATGATGCTTGCATGGTCAAACTATTCCAGAAATCCAATTCTCCCAAAGCTTATGACCAACACACCAAAGACGTGCTTCGCGCGACTTCAATTTTGGGCCCGTTCGAACTCATCCGAGCTCGAAATTGAGCTCTGCTTCTTTCTATATGTCGCCAATGAACCCGTCTACACAACCATGCTTGTCAATTCAACTTTTGGGTTGAATCTATTCCTCACAGGGCTTCTGACCTGCACACTAAAAAAGAAAGAAGAATGTAGAAAACCGGCAAAATACACGAAAAACACATAGAAGACCAAAATAGAGCAAAACACACATAAACTACAAAACGAGATAAAAACCAATGAAAAGACCTAAAACAAGGAAAAAGAAAGATAAAATAATAAAGAAAAAATGCAACAAAAATGGGACAAACACCAGTGACCTCTACAGAAATACCAAAGTGTCATTATCAGATATGCGCACCCCCTTAACATCCTCAGACCTGAAGCTGATGGTTGTTTCACTTGTTGTGAATTCTACCTCTTTCCATTTCTTTTCGCAATTTACGCGTGCTGCTTCCTTGCATTGTTAGATTTCCATCTGTAGGTCCTTTGGAAATCATATGGATAAGGTGAATCAAGCCCCACATCCTGATCTTGAGTCTCTTCACTCGATTGTCCCTTCTTTGATCTTTTCTTTCTCTATACTTGTACACAAACTCTTTCAAATCACGTACCCAGCTCAACCTCTCGATCTTATCCTTCAGTTGTCTGCAATTATCAGTGGTGTGGCCATAATCACGATGGATATGACAATATAGATCAAAATTTGGCTACGTTGGACCTTCCTTCCTCAACCTAGTCCACGTAATCATGTCCTCGCCTAGCTTTCTCTCCATTGTTTCTAATACCTCAGCTGGATTAGACCTCAAAGAGGTGTAATTTTCATATATGTGGCCATTTCGCACTGCCCGACCTCTCCACATGCCTTCTCGTTTTCCCTTCATTTTTTTTCTTCTTGTGTGAGGCTGCTCTCTTTCATATTACCTTATGCCGAGATTCTTTTTGAATTTTGGCAAACTTAGCCTCGTCCTCCTCAATATTGATGTACATGGCATATTTTGCAACACATTGTCATACGTCAATGTCGGCTTCTTAGCCAAAGAGCTATGACAAGGACCTGCTCACACCCTCTCGTCAACCCTCCACCCTTGGCCTCCTAAAAGGTTGGAGGTATGTTCACACATGCCCGAGTATAGCAAGCTACATAGCTCCTTAGAATCTCACTTTCTTGTTGTTACATTGCTATCAAAGTGAGATAGTTCTTCTCCTACGACCTAGCACTAAAAAACTGGTTGAGTAAAATAGTTGAGAAATCCTCATAGTCTCTGACCAACCCCAGGTCGACCTGATGAAACCAATCTTGAGATCTTGCCCGCAGAGTCGCCAGAAAGGCTCTACACCCCACCATTTCAGTATAACCATGCAAAACCGCCATATTCTCAAAGATCCTCAAATGACAAGACTTATTACTGGACCCATCATAAGTAGTTCTGAGTTCTATGGATCACTGGGTAGGTCTACATTAAATACCTCTTGAGAAAAAGGGTGCCCTCGAGCTCCCACAGTTCATTTTGCCTCCATATTAGCCTAAAGCTCTCGGAACTGAGTTGACATCCTTTATACTGCTAGGTCACACTAAGCTCCCAAAGCTGAGCTACTAGAAATATTGACCTCATCCCTCCTTGTCGGTACAGTAAGGTTCACTGCACTCGACACCTGTGGTTGTGGTTGAGCGAACTTGGCAACTTCTGCTATCATCTTGTTGAGTTCATCTTTGGTGAGTGTCATAACCTGCACGTCGGCAAGAATACTTCCCCCTTCCATTGGTGACTTCCTTTCACCAACCTGGGTGGATTTTGTTGTGCTGAAGCTACTGGTATTATCGTTGTAATCGATCAATTTTTGGTAATTGGGTCGTTGGTTGTTGCTACTAACACCAAAGAACCCCCCCAACACCTGGTAGGTTAGGAATCAAAGTAATGGGAGTTAAAATAGACCTCACAAATCCCTGTGTCGGGCATACTCCGATCGGACGACTGGAAACTAAGCCTCGTCAAAGCTAGGCTTCAGGTTCTTTCTAGGATCTTCTTCACCATGTTAAGGGTTGTTGTTGGATTTTTGAACGAAAAGTCTCACTGACGACGACAAATGGTAGTATAAACTACCTCGGCCCGGTTGAACGTTCTTTGATCCACCCTTAAATTGATAAATGACCTACAAAAAGCGTTGGAGGTTGTCCTAGCGTAACTTCGATGCTCAAGTCAGTGTTTGGGAAGATGATGTATGCAATGTATGTAAGTATGAAATGCTGAAAGTGTGTAGAGGGATAATGATCATATCTCGACCCTTGTTGCCCAAGATCTGTCCATTCTGGCTGCCTGAGTGCCCGAACTACTCGATCACACTGCTCGGGTTCCCGAACTATCCAATTCTCTTAGTCACGTGGTCCTATCCACGTGCCCTTTCTTATAATAATCATGTTTGCATTTATCCATTATATTAGCATGTTCACATTAGCCTACTTCATTAGGTAGTCGCTTTTAGCCTAATTGTGTTATCAACTTGATTCCCCTTGATGGGTCGTTCTAGTCTCTAATTAGTAAGTTCGCTTTTTAGGTCCTACATTGACCTTTTCACTTCCAGGTTGAATTTTCATTAGGCTATCTGAGAATTCTAGCTCAAGCTATTTGCTCGGATGTCATAACCGACCTGCTACTCCCATAAGCTCAAGTCTTTTGGTCGTTCGTCCTGATCGATTTGATGGTCCATCCGAACCACTCAAGTTGCTCTCAAGTTGCACACGACCTAATGATAAGTATGATATACCATATCTATTGAGATAAGTTCGAGCTTTTTAAAAAAAAAATTGATTCTATCAAACCAAACTTATTCGCATACAAAAAACTTATAAACTTAACAAATAAGTTATAAATTAGCTTGTGGTGTATACCAAACGCTGAGTGGAGATGGAAAATTTGCCAATCCGCCACTAGTGCTGTAAAATTAAACGAGTTTGGCTCTGCTCAAACTCGGCTTATTAAGGCTTGAGTTTCGCTCGACTCGTTTATCAAACGAGCCGAGTTCAAGCTTATTTAAAGCTCGTTTGGTTAACGAGACGAGCTAGACTCGACTCGATTAGGTTCGTTGAGGCTCGAAAAGAGAATTTTTATATAATTTTCTATAGTTCGACTCGTTAAAATTCGAGATCCACTCGTTAAAACTCAAACTCGGCTCGTTATTAGTGTAAACGAGCCTAGCTCGGTTTCAATTTCAAGATTATTTATTTATCGAGGCAAGCTCAACTCGACTCGTTTACATGCTTAGCTCTACATATAGAGAAAACAAGTACTCTATTAAACTACAAAAAACTAAAATAATTGAGCAGAAATCAAATCAAACACAATTACACAAACTGCAGCACCCCCACAACCCAGCCCATCATCAAGAACACGGAACATTTCTTTAATTGCTTTATTATTTATTTGTTTATTTTCCCTTCTTCAGCTTAAACCCCATCGCGCACCTTTGGCCTTCTCTCTCTGTTTGCCTGTTTCAGATTCAACTCACAAAAAATTCAATCTTTTCTGACCCCTTCTATTTTTTTCTTTTATTTTCTGCTGTATTTTGTAATCAAAATTGAAGCAGGCCGCATGCTTTAATTTTCCATTAATGGCCCTTAATTTTCGGCTTTTTTTACATCCATGTATTGCATCTACCTGCTGAATTTGAACTTTAGGGTTATGGGAGTTGATTTTCTTGATGCTATTTTGCACGCGGTTTAATGATTGATATTTTAACTGGTTCTTCCAGATCGCGGTCAGATCTTTAAGACATTTGATGCAGAGTTGTGGTGAGTTCACAAATTTGCATTTGTTCATTTGTTTTTACATTTTGCTTTTCTTGTTATTTTATTTATTTATTTATTTTTTGTAGCGTATAATTTAAATTTGTGGGTTATCTGGTTGAATTCTTTCACCTGTTTAGGCAACTTTACTGATAAATTGTATGACATTGGTATCCTAATTAGGGTTGTGAAAAGAATTGAGCTTCTTCGATTTGATTCGTGATTCGTTTATGTGAAATTTGCAACCCTCTAGGACAGTTAGAAAACGAGGAAGCCGGGGAATGAGAATTCAGATTTAAATAAGAATAGGAGTTAGCATTCGAAATTTATTTGAATCGAGTCCAAATAACTGGTTTGATTGTTTGGAAGGTAAGGGTTGTTTCATATTTTCCTCACTGCTTTTTTCTTAATGAGATTGTTGGATAATTCTTTTATGAAAGAATCTAGCAAGTGCTCTTGTGGTTTTGGCTTTTCCCCGAAGATAATGTAGTTCATTTTCACCATTTCCTTTCTATTATCCTCTGGCAGGTGATAATGACAAGACTAAGTACTGCAATTATTCGCCTTTATGTTTGGTGGTAGAGAATACAGCAACCAAACTCATTCATTGACCAATTTGCCACATTTTACGTCACTTTTTAGGTGTGCCTCTGCTTTCGAAAAATACCAAAACTACAAATTTCAGCAGCACTTAGATTCACTTGAAGAAATACCTTCACCTCGTAAAGTGCCCAGTGATGATAAAGAACATCCTCAACAAGCTCCCTCGTAAGCAAACCAAGCTAGCAGACAACCGTGAAGGTGGGCCTTCCAATTACACCCCCAATGCGTCCAGAAGTGCCCACCCCGCCAACTCCCGCCCGGCCCACCTGACAACAAATCACGCCCACGACCACGTGTCGCATGCGAGAGAAAATGGGAATGCGGTCGCCAGACCAAGCCCGTACGACTCACTCCCCAGCTTCCGTGACGTCCCGAATTCTGAGAAGCAGACCTTATTCCTTAAAAAGCTGAACCTATGCTGTGTCGTGTTCGACTTCATGGACCCCACAACAAACCTCA